ACTGTTATGTTTATCGGTTTGTATGGCATTTAAGTTCATAATAAATATAGAGCATAACATAGCGATTTACTTGCAAGTAAATAGAAAAATGACACTTACCGTAAACACACTGTTAGACGCTCTTTAGAACTTATAGGTTTTCGAAAATTAGTATGCATTTTCACTATTCGTGGTTCTAACAATCTATGAACGTATCCGAAATCAGTTTTATCATCCGAAAATACATCTGGAATCTGCTGGAACAATCTTCTGTTTCCAAAAGATTGATCAAGGTGTGGTATTCCCCGAACTCGTCTCGCACACGATTAATCTGGTGGACCCAGAATTTCTTATACTTTCTCCTCTCTTTGGCAACCACCACTGCCGATGCAGTCTCCTCCATTTCTTCTTCAAATTCGTCTGATGACAAATCATTGGAATGTACATCCATTGCGCTCGGTGTCTATCGTGTTACTGAACTTTTAACTGCTTCGGGTAAGGTAGCGTGGCGTGGCATCAGAAAAATATGCACATTGTACAATCTGATGCTTCACGCCACGTCGCGTGGCGTTGCATCAGGCTAATGTGTTTCTACCTTTTTCATTGGACGTTAACTGAACAAATTACGCGCGATAGACTCCTTGATATGCTCACCACCGTTCGATAATTATCGCTTGTGATAAATCAAGAATACCACTGTGGGCTACAGTGCGCTACAGTTTCGAACAGAATGGGATTTGCGCTCGTAGCCGCGTCTGTGTAAACGCCATTCGGCTGTATAGGTTGTTGACGTATGTTCTAATTTTTTTTAATCATCACTCTCCTTGTATCCCCAGCATCAATAGCAATAAACTTGTAAATGGGTCCCACAACGCCTTGTAATACAAGAAGGATTGTTTGTAGTTCCTGAACATGATTCCAGAATGACGTGGGTTACGCATGCGCACATGTTTTCCGTCTATACAACCAACACAGTTTGGGAACTTCCACTTTGTGCGTAGTCTGTAATGTGTCCCAAATAGCCATGCTTGTCTCTTTTACAGGTGATACATACGTTTACCTTGACGCTGTAGGGCGTGTTATATCCGTTTTAACCGTATCTGCACGTACCCCTTCGGAAATATACAGGACAGCAAATTTGCCGCGAGACCGTTAACCTGATTCGTGAATGCAGTCGAGTCTTTCCCGTTTTGTTTTATATTTGCAAGTTTTGCTTCGGCTATACGAGATTTTTCGCGTTGGCAACGTTCTTTCAAAACTGTAATTACCCCGTCTGAATCTGCAACCTCAGCTGGTACCGCCAACCTTGTTTTTCCTGTTAATCTAGATTTTACGAATTTCCATGCATTTTCATTGTGACCTTCCGAATTTGCTTTTAAAAGTTCTAACGCATCTACGAGTGAAACTAATATCAGCGAGAGTAACTTGGCAAATGCTTGTATTGTTCGATCCCTAAGTCTATCAAATGCTTTTTAGATCCATTCTTTATGTTTCGGGGTGAATCTATGCCAATAAGAATTTGCAAGCTGTACAAACTTATTAAATAATTTTATTAATTTTCCGCAATTTCTGCCCTAACAATTTGTTGCTTTAGAACCTGAATTTTAATAGCTCTTTTGGCCTGATTGTTATGCTCACTTTTAATTTGTAACAACTTTTGGATATCTTCCCATATCCTCGACATGTACAGCTATTCTCTTAATAAAATTAGCTACTAATAAACCTTAAAATAATTAACTTAATAGACCAATAATATTAATAATAAGTGGGGAGAAAAAAAAGTGTTACCATAACACTGAAAGAATTTTTTTGGTACTGCATGCAAAAATTTATATGATTGTGCAAATTTTTATTACTTACATTTGGGACAGCTAAAATTTTGGTACTATAGAAACTATTTTTTGCTAGTTTTAATTTGCCGTGCTAGCAAATAATATTATGTGTGATAACTTATAAATTTTGTTGAGGAGAGTATTGCATTTGCAATTGAAACATATCTTTGCAAACCTACCAATTTGTAATTTCCAGGCTAGGCACAACTTTTGTTGGTATAACAAAAATACATATTTGCGTGCATATGAAATTTATTTTTAATGGTCTAAACAATAAAAATATTATTTATTAAGGCCAGCAAATAACTTTTTTAAGGATAATAATGATTTGAGTAATGATTGCATAAGAATTTTGTTAGTAGGATAGTGGTTGTTTGCAGTTTATGGGAAAAAATGGTTTAACCCAAAAAAATTATTTTCAAATCAATTTTCTATTTTCAAAAATAAGAATATAATACAAAATAAAAGAAAACACATCATTAGTTACTAAGCACTACTTAAATCCGACATTTAAAATACAAAAACATATAAGAAATAGGTAGGAACATAAAATAAATGTTTATACTCTGAAACTCAATTCAACAATAGAAAGGTCAATGAAATAGTTACATAGTGTACCTATACTTCTAGATAGCTCAGGTAGTTATCGCCAGACGTAAGTACATAAGAAGTTCACAAAAAATGGTTCCTGAGTACCACATACGTGTTTCCATCAGTATGGTTATGAGATAATACCGGACCATTGAACAAATTTAACAAGTGCTGAAATTGAATAAATTTTAATTCGGTATCAGTAATGCCGATTTCATATGCATGATAGTGCTCACAAAAACCATTTGTTTTCATACGTTGATAAAGAAAACCTATTTCTAGGTTTTGATTTACAATAACATATTCTATAACACCAAATACTGGAAGTAGGTTTTCTATTCCTACAATCACTACGGTACTAGGTTGATAAAGTTTTCCAAATGTTTTAACCCATCTAGTCAAGTAACCTCTCTTAAATTCAGTAGGTACTCTAATTGTACTTAATATTTCTTTTAGTTCATATTCTGAATTAGAATGGGCAGGTCCAGTGAACACAGTGCTGTCATAACCCTTATTTGAAATAAAGCGCACACATAACTGTAATTGGTGCTTTACTGCAAGAGATCTGGTAATATTAATCCTCGACGCTGTAACATAGGCAGTCGTCTTTGATTGCCTATGTTTTGCTTCGAATCTCATGGACGACACATGTATAATAGGACCAATCCTTCTCATAATTTCGGGATAGTGTAGCATGTGATGGTGCTTCGGCTTCAAAGTGTCATTAAAGAGTTTTATATATAATGAATGATGTTCCCGTATTAAATTATCTAATGTAATAATCATAGCATCTGAAATATGTTTGGAAGTAACAATATCTAAAATCTCTCTTAGCACTTAAATAAAAATCCCAAACTTCATTTTTCTGTGCAACCGTATCACCAATTATTAAAGGAAAATATCTTACGAAACATAACATTTCAGACGCCGACATTGTTAGTTTTGATTTTGTGTGAAAGTCACTACTAAGACAAGGTGGTTTATTCCCAATTTCAAACTGATAATTAAATACTTCGATTTTATGATTTAAATTTTCAATTGTAAACAATTTACATTGTATAATGAAATATCTTAGTACGTGTAACATGTCGTAATGACAGACGCCCTCGAACATATCATGCATTACGTCTACACAAAAGTTATTAACAACGTGAAAGGTAGGTAGAGAGTTAAAAATGCATTCTTCTTTGATTCCAGTCTGAGACACATCATTTCTCTCAACGTCATGTGCATAATTTTCAACGGTCCTCTCAGATCCTTCATCTAACGAACAAGCTTTTTGAATCCTTTCTTTAGACATTTTACAAAATCTGCACGGATATTTAGCCGAAAAACTTTCAACAAATCCTGTTAAACCGTGAATACCTAAATTGTCTCCTAGAACTAAACACAAAACAAAATAAACTTTCTTCTCCCTACCGTTAATTGAAATAGTAATACCTTCGGTTTCCAAAAAATGTAATTCATTGATGAGCCTTTTCAATGTTGCACGATTACCAAAACGTTTCCTGTCATTTGCAAAAAATAAAAGTGCTAGAAATATGTTTTCCAAAGACGATCTATATTCCGGTGGAACACAGGGAAAATTCAAATACATGGCGCCCAGTTTGTTTATGCCAGCATGAGATCCCAATGGGTTACCTGCTTCGTAGTCGTCATAATATAAAAAAATGGGGATTATCATATCTTCCTCGTGAAATTGTTTTCTAATGTTTATCCAAAGTTTGCATTGCATAAGATTAGTAGTGATTTTCGATTCCTTACTCAATGTCTGAATGTACCCTACAATTTTTTCGAAGATGTTGGATGTTTCGAAATGTTTTTTAAAAACTTTTCTGAGTGGAATAAACTGAGCTGTAACAGGGAATGTACCATAAGAAACATGCTGTTTTGATTTTTGCAATTTGTTTTCACTTCCGATTTCACATGGTATTGGAGTAATAAAATTGTCATTTTTTTCAAATTCTTTAAAACATAAATACTCAGTCGTCAGCTTCTCAAATGGATTTTCCAAAATTTTAAAAACATTATCTATTTCATTAACAATATGATCCTGAACGGTACTTTCAATTTTGCTAATAATATTTAAAATAATTTTTTTTGTCATCTCTATAAAATGGTTACCAAATAATTCGTTTGTGTACATGATTATGCTCTGCACATGAGACCGAGGTAAAACTGAAGAACTATATAGCCTTGCAACGTACTGTAAAATATGGTTTCTGAACAAACATTTAAAATCATCTAATGAAAACTCAGAATTACATTCGTCACCAAATTCTGTATCACTGGCAGTTACATTTTCTGTCTGTACTGTACTACAAAGTGATGGGGGATGTGATATGGGTCTCTTATTTAACTCATCTTCGGAATTTGCAGTTTCTTTAATTGTATGTTTACGCATATGTTTTTTAAATGAATTAATATTCCCAAAATCTCGCAAGCAATTAATTTCTCGGCATCTGTACTTGTAATTAAACGGAAATCTGTGAACAAATTTAAAGTGTTTCGCAAGCGTACCTACTGATGGAAAAACATGTGTGCATTCAAAACAGATTGGCATGTTTGTATAATTTCTAAGCATCTACCTACCCAGCGTTAAAAAAATATTAATAAATACACAAATCTATCAAATATAACATAAATGTGATTATATATCCATTTATTATATCCCAAATCTTGCATAAGCAAATTGACACTTATGAAATTTTTGTCCCATTCAGATATAATACCATATAAACATTTCTGCAGTAGCAACCATACTGTTTCTGATTCATACGGGTATAGAGCGTGAACAGCGTGAATTACCTTAAAGCATATGTCAATAGCCTTTATTGGAGTTGAGACCTGATAGAGGTGACCGGAAACGTACACATAGGAATCCCTTATTGTGGAGATTTCCTCACCAATAAGAACCGGAGTAGGCTGAAGCGTCAAGCCAAATTTATCAAGCTTGTTAACCTTGGCCTCAACAATTGTTTTTAATTCACTGATGCTCTGTAACAATATATTTCTAGTTAAGAACAAAAAATAAAAGTGTAACCTAATGCTAGTTTAGAAAATAGGTAGATGACTACTGCAGAGTGCTGGAGCATAACCTTATAAGAAGCTCAACTCGCGGCAGTGAGAGGACGTGCTACGTAAGTTGCAGTTGCAGTTTACATATCATTAATATAGGTACCTACTTAATTTTCTATTCAATGCCTAAGTCGACTCGGCCCCTCGCCAGGTTATGTGTCCACTGCTGTATGTCGTATTTAATGCGTTTTTTTAACTTTTTTTGTTCTGTTCTCAAATTAAAGAAATGTATTACCTTTAAATGGATAACAAAACCTTCAGAGACTTCTATTTTTGAAGGTCTCCAACATTTTTGCCCCTTCTTTCGTTTAATTGTCCGCATTCCCAACAAAAAGGGTAAAAGGAAGAGACACTTCAAATTTTTCACATCTATAAGAAAAATAACGTCTATGACAACACTGCATAGAGATATGCCGATTTACCTACCGGCACTTTCTTCTTCGTCTATTTCTTTTATACGCTGCTGAATGTCTTTATCCTTCTGTTTTCTGGCGTATGAGAGAACCTTTTCACTAAACTGAGGCAGTTCGGAATACATTTTCATAGAGGAATCTGGATACAATTCTTCATAATCACTTTCTAGCTGTAAATTGAAGTTTTCATTACACCTGAGATAATAATGTAGGGTCAATCAGGGTAAGTGTGGCAATGGGGTAAGTGTGGCAAGAGCTAAAAAAAAATTACAAAGGGTCCCAAACACCAAAATGGCTAGTCATAAACAAGAGAGGACATTTCCTTAAGCCAACAACAAATTTATGTAACAAAATTGATATGTTTAATGTCCAACTTTTACTCGTGTCTAGAGATACCAATTCTACTTTGGCTTTCGAGCTTCCGCATGCGCAATGAGCTTCCGCGGTCATTTCAATTGTTATATACGGTTCATTTGTAGTATTGGAATTTATTTTATTGATTATTACATCGTTCCAAGGCTGAACATTCAAATTCTGTCCAGTCCCAATCTGGCGAGGTTAGAAATATATAAGACGATTTTAAACAAACAATGAAGACTTCCCTGGTTTGAATTAATCGTCTCGCTTTCCACAAGCTCCTCAGTGATTTCAACTGACTGGAAATGAAGTAAAAACCGAACCTACCGAACCGAAACTGTATTATCTAACCGAAATCGCGTTTAACTGAAAAAAAAATCATGCTGTAGGTATTTGCTTTGCACGAATACGATATCCGGCCGGTCAATGAGCTGACAGTGTGCGAGTGTGTGGTAATAACTAGAAATGAATAAAACTCCTATCCTACAAATCAGAACAAGCAACAGAAGAAGAGTGTAAGCAATGAAAATAAAAACTTTATTGTAATTTAACGTTAAGTTCAACTGAGTTGTAACAGATTTATTGCTATTTGATTGATCTCTTCTGTACCTGGATTTGATAAACCCACAGTTTCCTTCTTGGTCTTTTTCTTCGTTTTAAAAAGCCGTCTCTGCTGTTTAATGTTTTTGTTGTGGTGTACTTTGGAGCTTGCTCCCATTGAATGTTGAAGATCACGACTTTGTTGCAACCGTATTGCATGTAATGTTGGCTTGATTGGGCCCACTAGTTTCTTCAGAGCAGATATTTCCTCTCTTGTTGAAATTTTGTCGATATCATGGATTAGTTCCATTACCTCCATTTTTAATTTCTCTTTTTCGTCATAGAGATTTTCTTCTGAAATTGATGTATTTTGCGAAATAGCGGCAAGTATTTTCTGCTCTTCCTCTACTTTACTGGAAATACCGTCATCAATTTGAAGAATACTGGCATTTGGAACTATAAACATTTCAATATCACAAGATGTCTTAGATGTGTGCTAATTTACCTGGCCCTTGTGTAATATTTCCGACTTCGAGCTCTTTTCTGTCATTAAGGAATCTGCAGACTAGGTGTACATGTTTGCACATATTCCACTTAACAGAGGAATCTATGCACGAGCAGGAATATTGGTGAATGCATGCATGGCATTGTTGACACACCAATTTGCAAGTACAGTTAATTTTTCTCGCTTCCACTTTATACAAATCTTGACATAAAGCTGAAGGTACCTCCCACCCCTCCTCTGTCACCATTACCAGCTTTAGATCCATGCCTTCACTCGTTTTGTGCCTAGCTCGTAAATCCTTAAGTTTACTGGAAATTTTGCCTTTATTTAAAGTAATCAGTCTTTCAAATAATTTGTCTCGCACGAACTTCATCAGGGCATTTATAGCTTTATCAAGCCTCTTGACTACCTTTCCATTTAAATAAATATATTTAATAGTCTCGTGCATCCGCTCGATATGCATATTTGTGTTTAGTCCGCTATGCAAGCGATGGCAATATGCCCAAGCTTCGACATTTTCGGTATAATACCTTTTGAAGTACTGACCAAATTCGCATGTGTCTGCATCATTTACTAACGCTCTTAAAAAATTGTCTATCATTTGGGTGAACGCATTTTGGTCTAGTTCTTGCAGAATTGTCCTAAGTTGTTTGTAGACCATAACCTGAGATGAATAACAAAATTATTTATACTTATACATAGTTAGGTACTTACCTGTTTTTCTTTGGAATGAATTTTGTTTAGATTCTTACGCCAAGAGCGGTCTACATGCCATGTGCAGTAAATTCTGTAAAACAAAAAGAAATAAATGTTTATAATTATACACTGTAATGTAAACCTTAAATACCTAAAATCTGCAGGTTTCATAACACGTATCCATGCATTATAGAATGTTTTTTCCATGTCTGACATAAAGACTCGTGGTTTTATTTGTCTCTTCATTTTCTCTTTAATACATGAAAAAAATAAAACCAAAATCTCCACATCTGATCGATTGCTAAACAAAAATGCGCAAGGGAACCCTTCTCGTAAATCATCCAGAACTAGGAGTGTGTGCAGCTGAAAGTCATAAGGATTGAGGCCATGAGTGCCATCTAAGCATATGCAATCATCAGCAAACTTTTCAAGTATTTCTAGTTGGCCCATATTCATAATAATCAAAATGAAATCTTCTTTTTTCAAATTTTGATGTTCCAATAAGGAAATATCCTGAGGTTTATAAAACAACACACATCCACTACTCTCGACCTCTTTGACCCACGATTCTATGCTGACGGCATCATTTGTATGTCTTATAGCTTCATTGTTCAAATTAAAAGTTTGCTGTATATTATGCAAATCCTTTTTCGTTAAAAGATGAGTTCGATCCAGTTCTGAATTGCAAATAGAATCTCTAACTTCATCCAAAATTACCTGGAATGGAATTTTTGATGCTATTTTCAGAGCAAAATTCTCTCTTTCCTTTGTTGTTAAAGTCAAGTGCCCTAGATTATCTGATGTGTGTCCTGCATGCGTGCTGGTGTATTCTACAAAGCAAGTTCCTGATACATGACATACGGTGAGTTTTATTCCAGCAGGACAAAACCCATCTATTTTTTTTGTCCCTTGTGTTTTTATATGCCTTATTCCCTTTCCTTTTCGTTTATAATATCCAGATCGATGACAAACATATTTTAAAATTTTATTTTTCTCAGTACTGTACCACCCATGTTCACTTATAAAAAGGAACAAGTTGCTTTTTCTTCTTGTACTTTCCAAAATGTGAAGGCGTCCATGTTAGCAAATTCCATGGATTTGGTGCTAATGGATATATCATGAATATTTTGAAAATGTTGATATAACTGGTGTCTGAAATAGTCTGAGAACCCGCAAATACTGCATTTTAAAGATTTTCGTCTGCTAGAACTACTTTCTGAGTGATGACCTTTGTTGTGACTGTTTAAATTTTTCAAATGACTAAAATGTTTTTTACACTTATCGCACTCATGTGTATACTTCTTGGCTTTCGTCAACTCTGCTTCTCTATCTGTAATAGTTAGAAGTACAGTTAATTCAGTTATTTTTATATAATCACAAAGGTAGTAGGTTAAAGAAAAAAAATTAGCCATAAAATACCTGGATGGAATCGCTTTACATGTTGTACCAAATTTGAGTACTTCACAAAACTTTTCTCGCATCCATTGCAAACTGCGGCTGATTTGTACGTTTTGTATGGTGCTAATTTAGTTAATTGATCTGAAAATAAGTTTCAGACAGATAAATATTAAATAGACGTCTAATATGGAATGGAAAGTCAAAATGTAAAGTAACGTACCTATACTACTGTCAGCTAAAGTAAAATAAAGCAAGACTACTTACCAGGATGGAACTTTTTTACATGCGCCCTTAAATTACTTTGTTTGCTAAATGTGACTTTGCATATTTCACAAACCGCAACCATTTCCAACAATAGTTTACAATGAAAACAGGTAGTGTACACGCAACCGCTCAATCAAATTTTTAACGTTTACTCGGTTAAACAACTTACAAATAACCGTACCTGCAGTAAAACGGACACAGCAACTGATTGCGCATGCGGAAGCTCCAAAGCCAAAGTAGAATTGGTATCTCTAGACACGAGTTCAAACTTTTCCTTAGCAAAATCCCACTGCAGATAAAATGGACTACCAATATCAATGCACTTGATTCAAATTTATATTTAACAAGTGAAACTTAAATTTCTACATTTGTGCTTATGTGTAATGTTTGCCCCATCTGTTGCCTAGCAATATGTGTATTCGGAACTACCTATTTACAGTTTGTGAATCAGTTGTTTAAAATATTAGGCATCACTGGTGTTTTAACAACAACAGGGTAAGTGTGGCAGCACTGGTATGGGAAAGTGTGGCAGTAACAGAATCAGCTGTTAGTTCGGACATTGTGAGGTTAGTTTGAGTGGTGTGTTACTTTATAGTCGTGGATCTAATTTCTTAGTTTTGTTTGTTTACCTAAAAGCGAGCCTAAAAGTAAGTGTATTCTACCAATTTGGATGTAACGATCTTAATCTTAATTTATCTTTCCATAAGAAAATGCCAAGAAAATACATCAGGAAGACAAACAGGGGCGTAGGCGGACGTTGGTCCGCAGAAAGTTTGAAAAGTGCCATAGATGAGATACAATCCGGTCAAATTAATGTCTACAGTGCTGCAAAAAAATATGAAATACCGAGATCGACACTAATGTTAAAATTAAAGGGCTGGAAAGGCAAAAATCCTAGAACGTCCACCATTAATGTAATCAATGCTGGGGATCGAAAAACGCAGTTACCTCAAGAGACTGAAGAAAAACTCTCTAAATACATAAAAGTAATGAATAAGTGGGGCTTTGGATTGACAAAAAAAGATGTGTTAAACCTGATAAAAGATTACGTTACTCAAAATAATATTCCCAATGGTTTTACAAATAACATGCCTGGGCACGACTGGTGGATCGGTTTTAAAAATAGGTGGAGGCTGACTTTAAAGAAACCAGAATTATTAGAATCCTCTAGAGCTAGACAAGCAAATGATCCATTTATTGTTATGGACTTTTATAATAAATTGGAAATAATAATAAATGACCTGAAAATTAAAGACAAACCTCAGTGCATCTATAACTGTGATGAAAGTGGATTTAATCACGATCCTCTGTGTTCAAAAGTAGTTACTGGAAAAGGAGATCCCTCCTCACGAGTAACTGGTGGAAGTGGGCGTGAGTATACCACAGTATTAGCTTGCATATCTGCCAGTGGTGAAAAAATGGGTCCAATGATTTTACATAAAGGAAAGAGATTATGGACGTCGATGTTTTGTGAAGATGCATTTCCGGGAACGTCTTATTTTGTTAGTGAAAATGGATGGATGACGGAATTAGTTTTTACCTCATGGTTCCGAAAGATATTCGTACCTAACGTAAAAGAATTTCCAGCATTACTGATTTATGACGGTCATCTGTCGCATATTAGTGTGGAATTAATTGAATGTGCAGTTAGCTCAAATGTAACAATTCTTAAACTTCCTCCTCATACATCCCACCTTCTTCAACCATTAGATGTGTCAATCTTTAAGTCTGTTAAAACTCGATGGGATACTCTTTTGACTGAATGGACAAGATTGAATATCGGATCAAAAATATCAAAAAGCGATTTTGCTCAACTGCTAGGCAAGGCGTGGGAATCAATAACACCTGATAACGTCCGAAATGGATTTATGAAAACGGGCATATATGACCCCAATTTATCCGGCTCTAGTACATGTGTAAACAGGAACGCAATTGATTGCAAACATTTTGATCCAGAAAAATATGAAAGATATTTGACTTCAGTAAAAAGCCAAGAGAAGTCCGACACCCTGCCACTTCCAAACAATGATTTATTGACACCTGCATCATCCTCCAATAACGACACTGTTGCCAAAATCCCGGAACCTTCTACTCCACCACCAGTTAAGGAGACACCATCAAAAACTTTTGAAAGATTGGTTTTAGCTAAATTGTCAGCATCGGGTAGGTCAAGCGCCGCAAAGCAGGCTCGCAAAAGAATAGATGTTGCAGAAGTTATTACCCAGGATGAATACCTGAAGGCTCTTAAAGAACGCAAGGGTAAAGAAAACATAAAACCAGTTGAAGATTCGCGGAAGAAGAAACACGCATTAAAGCAACTAAAGACAAAAAATGCAAAACAGAAAAAACAGGAAATCCCAAACATCAGTTCTAGTGAGGATGCTGATCAAGAAATTACCTCTGGTGAAAGCAGTGATTATGAGCCACCTACCCTCGACCAACCATGTGATCTATCAAAAATGGATGTGTACAGTGTTGGCTCATATGTGCTTGTGCAATTCAAAGGCGGGAAACGAAATCAGAGCAAGTATTATTATGTGGCAATAATTCAATCTGTTGATCAAGACGACGACGAAGAAGAATATAAAATAATGAGCCTTAAATGCACAGACCATACAAAGAAGATGTTCCTTGCTGATGAAAATGACATTTCTTTTATTGCAAAGGAGCAAGTAATGGGGCAGTTGCCAAATCCAGAATTACTAATGACAGGGGAGAGAATGCGGTATGTTTTCCCTGGACCTGTGGACCAAGTATTTGAAATGGCTTAATAATAATGTGAAGAAGACAGTTTTAAGTTTTTAAACATTAATTGTATGGGTTCAATATCTTTTATAAGAAAAAAATGTATATACTTTTCTTATATAAAAAATTCTCAGCATTTCAGTCACACTTTCCCCTTTGATCTATCTTCGATATCTTAGAAAATATTCACGTTTGCCACACTTTTCCATTCCCGTGTCACACTTACCCCTTTTAATGGTAAAGTGTGGCACTGGACATCCATTATTATTTCAATTTTTTTTCAAAAATCAGTTTCTGTTTTCAATCAATATATCCACGGATAATAATGTACTGACCTTATTAAAGATTTAAAAAAAACCGTAGATGTCTATGTCTAGTGGTTTTTGTAAAAAATTACGTCAAAGTCAATTAATAAAAAAAGCAATCACACTTTCCCCGATTGACCCTACTTATCATAAAATACCAATGTATATCCCAATTTAGATTTTAGTGGTGGAAATTCAGCTATGTAGTCAAGTACTTTTCCATTTGACTGCTTCAGTTGTTTGTACCTTGACATAAATGTCATTTTCCAATAAGATTCGACCTGCCTCCAAGGTTCTGAACTATTTCGAAGCCATTGTAGTTCTTCTAAATGACTGTTCTCTTCTCCTTCGCGACTAGCTGATTGTGTCGTACAACTTTCACCTTTAGAGCTTGTTAATAACCCACACTTTTTTAAAGACCTTCTATAGTTGTAAAACCTTCTAAACAATTTGCCACCACCCACTTTGTAGTTGTTGTAGTTTGAGTAAAAAAAATAAATTTCTTTCCGTTCGTTTGGAAAAAGAGCTTGTATCGAGTTCGCGTACTCCTCAAATCTTTCGTTGCTAATTCTGAAACGAAGAGTTGCATAAGCTTTAATATTGTTCTTGGATGTAGGATTTGTACTATACCGTTGGTCAATGTTTTCCCTGGTCTCGTGCTCGATGATCATATCTACTAATTTGTCCCTTGTAGGTCTGTCAAAACTGTTATTGATTTTGTAATAATTTCATATAGCTTTTCCCTTGTTTGAATTTTTTAGTGTTTTGTCCAGTTTAGTGACATTTAAACACGCCTGTCTGAATTTTGCGGCGGGAGGATGTTGCAAGTCTTTTTCAGGAATTCCAATGTTAGCTTCGGCACATCTATCCATCACTATACAACAAATAACAAAAAATACATTACTCCCAGTAGCTAACATATAATAGCTATTTGTGTATTAAGAGCGCAAAATGATATATTGTCGATTGAAAGAGACAGTTGACGCGCGACGAAGGAGCGCGGCAATCTCTTGAAATCGACAATCAATTTGCGCTCGAATTACACACAAGATTTTTTCTACAATCGATCAGTTCACATATTTCCACAAATTTAAATTTTTCACTCACATCATTTTAATCTTATGCCCAAATTAAAGATGTCATTTACTCGTTGTCATTGGATACTCTGAGCAATGCATATTTGATTTATAGTTAATAATTGGGAGAGCGAGCGTTTTTGCTATTTTGTCGCTTATAAGCGACAAAGTGACATTCCTCGAAAAAGATGACGTTTGCGTTGTCAAATACGAGCGCAAATGCCTACTTTGAATATCGATTGTAGAAAAAGTCAATTTTAAATGATTGTTAACATTGTTATCTAGCTTGGGTTTAAATTGCGAGACAGTTTGTCTGTCCGATAACTCCAAAACGCTTTGACATAAAAAGTTCAAATTTGGTACACCGATGGTCTGTTATCCGGGGATAGCATAAATCTCGAAAAAAAAAATAAATGTCAGTAAGTGTAGGAAATGGCCTGTTTTTGAAGTTTGGAGAATATTTTCCAGCACTTGCCTTTTTTTTTCATTATCTATCAGCTTAATATCGCTACTCACTACTGTCACTCGTCCCTTCCGCAAACGCCGTTTTCGTAGTTAATTTTCTATTTTTAAAATAAAAAAAATATCTTAACTCTACCTTAACCTACCAACAGTCGGCGCTTCGCCCCAAACAATTGACCACTGTGAAATTTGAACGAAATCGGCATTACCCCCCGGATAATAGACAATTACCAAAAACGCATGCTCGCGCTACTTTCTTGTAGCTTTGCGTGGGTTTATGATTTGTTTAATCCGTGTCATTTATCATACCTTCGTCAGAGAGTTGAGAAAGGTTGTCCAATGCTTCCACTACGACGATATCGTCAGATGACGGTGTTTCCCGATTAAGCGCCATTTCTTGTGATAAAGATTCTGTTGTGTCGGATTGGTACTAGAACAGTTGTTCGATGTACGGTTTTGTGTTTACAGCAAATGATTAACACTTACATCTATTACTTCGGGACTTGTCGCTTCAACGATTGGTATATTTCTAAAAAAATTTAATTTTTCCATGAACTTAGTTCTTGGGCCCACCTTTGGTATTAACTCTTTAATTATATGCTCATCCATTACCATGAGTGTGTCCAGATCAACTTCATTTTCTAAAATAAAGTGAACTATTCATTTTCTTATTTAACAACGAAAATATTTAGCAAATATGAAATAATAGTAAATTTTTTAGTGGTTTTACAAGGTTCGATTTTGTACATCACACATTTTTAGCTTCCTAGCATGAGCTAGGTAGCTATTGCGATCACCGTTTTTTGAACATTTCAAAATTTCATCAAATGTCAATCATTTTAAGCAACTTTTAAAGAATAAAATGTTTTCCCCTGTGAATTTCGAGCTTTTCAAAATAGGAAAGTCCCTAAATATTGAAAGGAAATTAATTGACCTAAATCACGGAGGAACTGATATATTAGTACTTTCCATTCTTTCCATTTTCGTTGCCCCGCCAAGAATTGCAGTGTGCAATGTGCAGTGCAGCGCCCATTCGTGGTAGGAATTGTAAATTTTTTTGCAAAATCGGGAAGATAATACCCCAAAACCTATTCAAAGACGTGCCACCCGTCTTTGTAACTCTATGTTGCTGAGACAAAAATTAAAGAAGAAATGCAAATTTCACCACTTTTTTGGTGGTAACCTCGATTTATTTGGAAAAAGTGCTTGTTTTGATCCCCTCTCGCGCCCAATTTATTTTCATACTTATATGTAACACCTTGTATAGTAATTAGAGGTTATGCATTAGTGGTTGGAAGAACCTGATTTCTTTTTTAATAATGTCAAGCAATTGTACCTACGTACGAATTCTTTTCCACTGAACTGACGTACAATACACTCACATTACTGAATAGTGAATATATCGACATTTTGCAATTTAGCAAAAAGCACGTACCTACAATAAGTCAATGTAATCTAGTTCGCAGCCGCGCGGAAATCGTTTTCCTCTGGAGGTGGCATCTTTTCGCGAACATACAAAATTTACATCGTTTCACTTTGATACCGATTGCAACAAATTTAAGACATCGACATAACATGGCAGTAGGTAGGTACCCTAATTCTATAAGTAGTATATTAATAAATATCACTTATCTTGGAATATTTCGACGTAGTTCTGGAAGCCCCAACTTGTAAGAATTTCTTCAACATTCATGGTTTCACGAAGTACACACACTCACTTTCCTATAAACTTTACTATAAACGCTAACCA